TATATATATCAAGTTTGAAATGTTTAAATTTTATATAAAAGTGCTAAGCAGTACTTTATCAACATTTTTTAAAGAAAGCTACATCCAAATACTTTTGTTTTACTACATGTATAATCTTTATATAGAGCGAAGAACCTTTAACATCTTTATGTATACTTAAGAGGGTCCTGTTAATTATAGAACCTGGACTTAGCATAACTTACCATTCTCTAACTCTGACTCCAGTGAGTAGAGTTCTTCACTAAGCTCCGCCCTCATACAATTTAGAACACTCTCCTCTACAGCTGGGGAGGAATGATTGACAATATGTAGGCGGAGCTTCGATCTGTCACCGGGTGTGAAGTCAGTGGGAGGAGTCATGACACTGTGGCAGCTACAGCCGTCAATCTCGTGAGAAGTGACAGAGTCCACCTCGTCGGGGGAGGGGCCAAAGTTCTCTATAGACATACTGGAGCAGGAGTCAGGTGATGAGGAGGAAATGTCATCATTTCTAAAAATAAACATATATTGTCAATGAATATAAAGCCAACAGTAACATATAAATATCAAAAAATGTCTCCATACTCATATAAAAATGATTTTTTTTTATTTCTGCATCAATATCTTCTACACAATTTTTACTTTTAATAATTTATTACTTCAAAAACTTCATACCGCTTACTTTTCTTGATTCCATGTTTTATAGGACATTATGAAGACTACACATACATATATACATGTAAAAGTACTTTCAAGCAATTAAATTAAATGCACTTGTAGTTCACATACCCACTAATTTCTCTGTGATATTCCCCCTTGTCAAAACCATTACAGGCATCCACCTTGTCTAAGTTTTTCTGTTGCCTTTTTATTTCTCTCTCCACAACCAGTCTAACCACATCAGAGAGGAGCGATTCCATAAACTCCTGAATCTCGGGAGAAATGTCATTCAACTCATCCTCTCCTTCAGTCACTGGTACAGCGGTCTCCAAATTTTTCCAGTCTTCCAGGGAAGGTTCAAATCCTAATGATTTAGGGGTAGTGGTGGTGGCTGCCTTGTGCGATGCAAACAGTGTGTCGGGGTGGAGCCAGGCATCATTCCCTGGCGACAGAACCTGCTCAGTATTGAGATCGCTTGATTGAACACATGGTGAGGCATTCTGGGACAATTCATCGTCTGCTCTGTAGTCATCCGAACTCTCCTTGTCTGTCGAAGGTGACCAAACTTGAGATTTATAATTCAATGTAACATTTTTCTTGAAATTTAAAGACAGTTTAGAAGGTGACACAGCTTCCAGGGACCATGATTTTCGTCTCGGGGCCTGTTCCTCAGTGATTGAATATGAAGATTGTTGAGCATACAGATGATCTGCAGTTTTCTGTTTTTGTAGGAATGATCTGTGATGGCAATGCTTATGTAAGTCGGGAGTCACAGGCAAAGAATGGCAGAATCTTCCTCTAATAAAAGAAACTTACTTTATCAAATCAGTTCATCAGTGATGGTTTAAATCACAAAATTCAGTCTACTCAATGAAAAAAAGTAAAATAACAGGCACATTCAGATCAAAGGCTGTGTCTTTCATGATTTATGAAGTTTATTAATATACTTATAAATCATAAAAGGGAAATCTTAATAAACTGAAAATAAAAGTTATGCGCAGCCCCTTTCTATCTTTGCATGCTAGTGATGCTTTTTGATAATTTTTTTTTCATTAGATACACAATTATCTTCATGAAAATTGTACTTTTTTGAATTATATCTTTTAATGATATTAATTAAAAAATGTTTAATAGACTGAAAAGTCAAATTTAAGAGAAAATACTGGAGTATTGGGTAAACTGGATTAAAGCCCGGACTGCACTGCAATCTATGCATTGATTATCATACGACACGTTGTTACCTGAATAAGTCTGTAGACTGGATGGACTGTGATGGCGAGTCGTGAGGATTGTATCCTATAAAGTTCAGGACTATCAGCTTCGTCTCTAGGTTAAAGTTTTCAGGGGAGTACGGTGGGGTGGCAGGAGATTTAGCTGCCATTGTTATCTGCAAAGTAAATTTAATACATTCAGTAAAAATATTAATGATCAATTTAGATAAACATTTCTGTGACCCGAACATATTCTTTCACTGTTTCCACAACAAAAAGAGATGCTTGTAAAACACTTATGCCCCCCTCCCCCCAAATTGGATTTTTTTTCAGTTCAGTCCAAAAAGGCATAACTCTAAAATGGTGCGATTGTACCCAAAACAGAACTTGACTAAGATATTTATCTGATAAATCTGTATACCAAATTTCATCTCAGTATGTGCAACCTCTGCAAAGAAAATGAACAGAAACTGCAAATAATTGGAATTTTTCTTAGTCCAAGGGACATAACTCTGTCAAAAATGGTGCGATCTTACTCAAAACAGAACTTGACCTAGATACATGTATACCTCTGATAAATCTGTACGCTAAATTTCATTTCAGTATGTGCAACGGTTGCGAAGAAAATGAATGGAAACTGCAAATAATTGAAATTTTTCTAAGTCCAAGGGACATAACTCTGTCAAAAATGGCGTGATTGTACCCAAAACAGAACTTGACCACGATCTTCATGCATTATAACAGTATATCAAATTTCATTTCAGTATGTGCAACGGTTGTGAAGAAAATGAATGGAAACTGCAAATAATTGAAATTTTTCTAAGTCCAAGAGCATATAATTCTGTCAAAAATGGTGCGATCGTATCCAAAACAGAACTTGACCTAGATATACCTCTGGTAAATCTGTACGCTATATTTTATTTCAGTAAGTGCAACGGTTGTGAAGAAAATAAATGGGAACTAAGTGGACCTACCAACCGACAGACGATCAGCAGCAAAGCAATATCCCCTCCCTTCTTCGAAGGGAGGCAGGCTATAAAAGATTCCTTATAATTATTGTTAAAACCCGTACCAAACATTCTAACAAATGCTCATGAGCAGCTCATGAGACTCACATGAGAATCAAGTAAGAATTGCATGCAAATTAGGTAGAATTGGATTTTGCTCATGTGCAGATTGTTAGTCTTTGTTAGGGAGGAAAATACTAACCAAAATGCACATGTGCAAAATTATGCTCACCTCAATGCTCATGAGCAAAAGTCTATTCAATTTGCTCACCTAAGAACAGCCTTATTTAAGATGTAGCATTGGTAGTGATTTTTCTAAGTTCCGTTTTCTCACGTGAGCAAGAGGTGAGCAAGAGGTGAGGAAATTGGACATAATCAAAATTCAGTATTACAAGTAGAACCAAAACCAAAGAATTACAAGTCTCAATTCCTCACGTGAGGCTCACGTGAGGAAATACAATACTTTGACACTCTATGTGGTCCAAGCTTTCCCAAGCCTTTATTACAAATTGACCATGTGTTAAGTGTTAACACTTCCTGCTGATAGCATCACAAATGATTGGGGACCAGGCAGGAATATCTTAATTTCTTGAGCTTAATCTTCATATTCCCATCAATTTGAAAATGCTTTCCTCTACCTAAACAACCTGTTGTGTCCCCCACTGTTACTTGAAGTGGGGCAGTATCCAATGAGGAGAGCCAGTCAGGATTTGTGGGCCTTCTCAGACCAGTTCAAAATTTCAATACAAAGTGTTTGTGAGGGACATTGAAAGTATATGGATTAATACAGTAAAGAACTGAAATATGCTTTTGGAAATACATGTCATCACCATTTTGAACAAGATGCCAGCCTTTAAAAGTTACAAATGTATCCAGTATGTTCATGGGATGAGGAAATGATTAAAGATCAATTAGATATTACCATGGTGCAGCCACAATGAAGGAAAATTTCAAAGATTTGCTGATCTGAGAATAGGGTAAGCGCTTTGAAATTTATTATCCCCCCCCCCCTCTCATTTCAGATATTACTTATTTAAAAAAATATGTTTTTGTTTTAATTATCAGTGTATTTAATTTTGATATATTTAATGCAGAATGTTATCAGGAATTACAGTTTAGTTAAGAACTATAAATATGGTAAGAACAGGTCAGAGTGTACAATTAATTGACAGCCTCAGTGCGGTATTCTATGGATTACAATTGTACTTAAGTTGCTAATTAAATATTGATGCATATGATTTTTCTATTGACTGGCTTTTCATGACCAACGGAACCTTGAAAATATACTAACTATAGCTTCAAATTTTTTACAGATGAACGTTGTAATCTGTCAATCAAAGGATCTGCAGATTAATCACGGGCCCTAGCTGAGCTTGCATATATACATGACGGAGTTCTGATGTTGGCACTCATTTAAAGGAAATGCAAGGAAAAAGAATGGAACAGGATAAATTGGTTCTGATTCTTATGACCACTGGATTATTTTTTTAAACACAAGTATGACTGCATGCCACTGATAAATTCGGCAAAGGCAGAAACATCTACTTAGCCTCCAAGACAACTTTAAGACAACTTTAATCCATCTAGTACTAGTGCAGTCAAAAATGTTGACTGGACATTTACATTGGATGTTCTATGTTAATCTACTGGAAATATGGAACTATTGGATAATATGTTGATATGTGAACATGGTGAACAATGGTGAATAACCAGAAATAAATTTGATAATTTTTTTTAATTATTAAAAAAAAACAGAGACATATAAAACCATATATGGTTTTATATGTCTCTGAAAAAAAAGCAATAACCACAAGACATATCTAAGGAATATTTTGCATCAACTTCAAAACATGGGATTCTCTGCATGTTTTGCACCATTGTCAACAATTTAAAATGGAAACATACCGTAAGAAACTTATGTGAATAGTCTGATATGACAGCGACAGCAAGCAGCTTGCCCTACATGCTCAATGATCAAATTTACATTGGTCTTGCGTTGAATAATCATTGTAATTATTTATGTGAAACAGTCTGTATGATTCTTCATTCAGAGAATTATTTTCCTAAACCTATTTACCTGGCTGACACTGCTCAACTTCGTTGACTTGTAAACTTTCTTCACATTTCATATGCTTTAACCGACACCGGAAGTGTGTTATACGTCATCGTTTATTGGGCTCATCACAGTCACGAGAAATTTGCCAGTAAAAATTTTTCCTGTGGATAAAAAGTGATTTTTGTCAACCGTCAAGATGGCTATGAGTGATCAAGATGTCCAAAAACAGGTAATGGTAAAGTTAAATGCAGAGCTTGGTATTATATGCCTGAAATTACAAAAGGTTTCCTGAAAATTTACATTATCAGCATATTGATTTCTTAACAACAAAAATATTCCACTTCTGTTTAACCTTTACACAGAACTTTGGCTTAGATAAATGCATTATTTGAGTTAATAATTTAAGAAAAAGATGCATTTACACTTTATGGCTATTTTCTTTGTTCTTTCTTTCTGAACCTGGAAGATTTACAGATTTAATTGAAAGTGGCAGTTTAGTTAACATCTAGGCTGTCAGTGTCAAATGCTACCTCAGAGCCATGAATTAATATTCCATGAGCATGGTAACACAACAGAAAGCTTAGAATTAGAATGCCTATTGTATAAAAAAAAAATACCAACATTTAACAGGTCCAGTCCAAAGACTATTTCTATAATACCTAGGTTCCTAGGTATTTAAAGCTACCCAAAGTAGCTATTTTTACGGCCGATGATATATACACGACCGTCGTGCGCACTATATGGAAAGTCTATTTACACGACCGTCGTGCAAATAGCTATTGCAAAGTGATGAGATATATACACGACCGTCGTGCATAGATATTAAGTAAAATCTATTCACACGACCGTCTTGCATATAGCTACTGCACATTACCCGAGATATGTACACGACCGCATTTATCGTCGTGTAACGTTACCCTAAATTCGTCCGCACCCTAAATTCGTCCCCAAACTTCTCGAGACCAGCACGTTTCGAACTTCGTATCGAAGACGTCATTTTCAATTGTTTTGACGAAAACACAATGATGCAACTTTTTCAGCAATTATTTTTCAGAATTTGCAGTTTAAACTAGTATTAAACTTAAATAAATAAAAATACTTAAAATATCTGATTATTCCTTATGCCTATTTTATTGAAAGCGTACAGTTATAGTAACTTACGTTCCCCAAAATTACTTCCAGATCTAATATACCTTAATTTTATACCCGTCGGTGTATTGAATTACGTGCATGGGCTTTTAATTTAAGAATTTGATAAAAAGAAATCAACGCTCAAAAATCATAAATCAAAATTTATTTTATTGAACAGTCATTTTATTGAGCCGACCAAAGAAGGTGAATTTTTGTCACCATTTTTACCAGTTTGACAGGTGCTGAGTGCTGACGTGGTGCAATGGATGCATTGAAGCATAACTAATCCAGCGGGCTTCTACTGGGTCGAAATTCACGATATAATCAAGTAAAACAAGATCTTTCCTGCAAATTCTTTTATTTCTCATTTTCTGCAGATCTATATAGTAGATGAAATTTTTCCCCCCTGTAATGTGGATATTTCACACATTATTATAATAGTTAAATGTGATCAATTCAAGTCTAACATTAAATTATAATAGTTTTCCTATTGTTCTTTTTTTTCAGATTGTGCCCGACTTGCACTCACTGCTCAAATATTTTGATATTCTATCGGTTTTTGCCAGTAAGGTCAACGAATCCTGGAAAATCTAAAATAAAACATTGTATAATTCACATATCAGGTAAATTGGTGAGCATGCAATAACATGATATCGTTGAAAGCACGTTCGTTTTTTTTTTTTAATTTCATTAAATAAAACGGAGTCGGTATAATCGAAAGCAATTTAATGTTCTTTATATAATGAAGAGAGGAAACTTTCCACTTCCTTTACGGTTCTCACAAAAAAAATCACCTTCTTTCAACTAATCAAAATTAAGTATACATATAAAATAGTTATCCGCGTGCAGATATAATTACCGGTACATTTATTTATCGTCTGATTCATGCAGTTTTGTAATTAAGGTGCTATACCATAATTGGGAGATTCTGCTTGTGAAGTCAAAGAGAATTATTAATAAAATTTTGTTTGTTTTTTTTTTTTTTTTTTTTTTTTTAAAGTAACATAAGTTCATAAAAAAGCAGGTTTGAGAATTATTTCTTGAAATTAAATTTTAGAGCCTTTTGAAAATATATTGAGGTCATTATACCCCCCGCTTGAAAAGCGGGAGGGTATATAGTAATCGTTAATTCCGTCCGTCCGTCTGTACGTCCGTCCGTCCGTCCGTCTGTCTGTCTGTCTGTCCGTCCGTCTGTTACGCTTTGGGGTACCCATCTCTTATCCGCAACTCCTCTCATACCACTGAATGAAATTTGATGAAACTTTCACAGAATCTTTATTACATATTGCCATTGTGCACCTCCTATTTTACTTTTTGATCTGACACATATTTTGGATTTCCCGGCCACAGGAAAACATGGACTTTTTCACCAGTTATAACCATATGGGAGGCGGGGGGTATCATTTAGTGAGCTCATGCTCACAGTACCTCTAGTTTTTATATACAATAATTTAAAGAGGTTCTCGATTTTATTTCCTAATATGGAGAGAAATTTTCATTTTATTTAGGTTGTGCATCATTTGTTCTCAATATTTCCCCAATTATACAAGATATCGGCACCACTGGCACTGAGATGTTTGAATTAAATCAGTGCATCAGGTCATTTTTTCATGTTAATTGTTTATTCCACAGATTCCATATCCTTAATTTATTGAAAGAAATGGTTTAATTAATACAACAAAGTTCAAAAGTCAACAAGAAGTAAATGATTTCTGTCAACAAGTGACAATTACTACATACATCGGATACATGTAACCAAATAATTGGTCGTACATGCGAACCGTCTTAATTGGGACGAAACGCTTCGGTGCGAATGGTCCTGTGGGGACGAACCGTCTCGCACTCAAACAAGAAAAGATATACAATGCATGTTTAATGTTTACACGACGGTTGTGTAAATAGTCATTGAAATTATATACACGACGGTCGTGCGAATAGTCATTGAAATTATATACACGACGGTCGTGCGAATAGTCATTGAAATTATATACACGATGGTCGTGCGAATAGTCATTGAAATTATATACACGACGGTTGTGTATATAGACACTGCCTATTTTTACCTACTTTCTGCTTTACTTGCATTTTGTGGCCAAATGCAGGAACGGCGCAACATGGTGAGCACAAAATATCTTAATAGAGTCACACTGATGATGGATATGACAAAAATTTGGCCAAAAAATGATTACTTCGTTTATTATCAATTTTGCATAGAAACTTATGTAAAATTGCCGATTTAGGAAGTAATCATTTTTTGGCCAAAATTTTGTTTTATTCATCATTAGTGTGACTGTATCAAAAGATACAGTATTCACCATGTTGCGCCGTTTGGTCTTTGTGCCGCAAAATGCAGAAATTATAAAAAGGATGACTGCACTTAAGGAAACTTAGATATTGCGACATAATTAATTTTAAAAATGGGCATATTTCTTTCAATGGTAGAAATGGCCAATGTCTTAACTGCAACTTTGTGTAATTACGTTAATTAAAAGTTTGTATTAACGAAGTTCGAAGTCGTTTTTATTGGGAAGGGTCATCGCATATTCTGGAATCTACATAGGATAATGAGTACGCCCACCTTTTTACAGGCTTAATACATAGTCAGCGCATGTTTGTCTATTGTTCTCCTTTTTATGGTAGTTGTATATTTATATATATTACCTCATATTAAAAGGAGATCAATAGACAAACATGCGCTCATGGTTAAAAAGAGAAAAAACTGTTTCTCGTGTGTTCACTTTCTCTATAGTAAACAGGCCATTTTGACCACGTTGTTACCTGTTGAATATTATAATTAACCACGTGATTTCTATACCCAGGTAACTCTGTGAAAACTAAAATTCCATCACATGACGTGTAAGGAAACACGCATTCTGCTGGGCGATAATGATTGTCCATATCTGTTTCAATCCATTCCCATCGAGCCACGGGTTATTCTTTTTTCTCTTAGATATCTATAAGATAATTCTTATATCTATCTCAAAAGCGTTTAATTTTACTATTTTTATATATTTTCGAGTGTATTTTATGTCTCTACATGTTCGTAGTCTACAAGAAAAAAGAGATTTATTTATTATGTTTTGAACCATCGCTTATCATGAACATCCAAAGTAAGATCCAGTAAATAAAAATGAAATTATACCATCCTAAGCACACTAATTTATGGGGAGAAGAAATTAAGAAAATTTCAGTAAGGCCATACTAAATAAATTGCTAGATTCTCATCCGAATTTTTTTAAAAATCGAGGCGGGCGGGCGGCTTTTATTTTATATTTTTTATTTTTTCAATTTTGCAGATTTTTTATTGACTTGGTCAATCGGTGTAATTTTATCTACAATACCCGAATAAAAGTCATAGTTGAGGTTTAATTATCTCTTACTTCACATCATCACCAATCTTTTTCAACCAATGACCCTTGTTTAAAATATATACACATGTATTACAGCAATTACTATCTTTTCATCTGTCAAAATCATGTCGACTTTCGCGGGATTTAAAACGAAAGTACAATGGTAGATGAATACCGATCCCGATCAGAATTAAGACGAAGAAAAACAGAAATAAAAAAAATCGAGGCGGGGATATAAAATCGGGGCGGGCGGGGATGAGAATCTAGGAATATTTTTATTATGGCCTAATTGTGACGTTTTTCTTTCTTTCTTTTTATAAAAAGGGAAAAAATAAACCAAGTCTTAATGTTGTTAGCGGGTCTCGATCCTAGATCCCAGAACTCAATATTATAAATTCTGTGCATTACCGACTGAGCTAGTCGGCACTTGTATTCGAACACGCGAATTGTTGACATCAGCCATTGCTGTTGATTATCAAGGGCTACTTCTACCGGTCGATATTATTTTTTATTAGTTATATACTTTATTTGAAAACTTAAAAAATAATAGTGAAAAACATATGCCGAGAGAGAGAGAAGAGAGAGAGGAATGCACCAAATATAAATACAGTAACAGTATACTATTCTAATTTTAGACCACTCTTCACAATATTAGCTCCGCCTCTTATGCATATTTATAAATCTTATCTCCAATCAAGGGCAGATAAGTCTAATTTCCCGATATTTGCAGAGAGGTGGGGTAAGAAAACACCAAATTATTTTATTACAACGCAGTTTATAAGCTTTATGACATTGCCTTTCATTTGGAAATAGACCAAACTCTATAACAAATGACTTGAGGCAAAAATTAAAACAAAAATAAATGTGACAACAGAGATTGAAAAAGACCCAAAAACCGGCGTTAAGTGCAGTCATCCTTAGGTAAAAATAGCTACTTTGGGTAACTTTAAAATTAAATACCTAGGTAGCTATTAATAGCTACATAGGTAGAAATAGTCTTTGGACTGGACCTGTTTAAGCTGTCGAGTGAGTTAATGTACCCAGCAAGGTTTGATTTACTCACAGTTTCCTTAATTTGTATCAATGAATGAGATGTACATTTTGAAAATGTGCTTTGGTCCGTTCCTTTGATCATTTATATATAAAGTAATGTATACCCCACTGGTTACTTTATTTTTATGTCTTGAGGGATTAAATTTGATATTCCTTTAAACATTTCTTTGTAGATTAAACACATGATGGCTTTCATAGAGCAGGAAGCCAATGAAAAGGCAGAAGAAATTGATGCTAAGGTGGGTGGAACTAAATATTCTACACACATAAATTTTTATTTTTATCTATTAATATTATACAGTATGTTGTTCAATCATCATCAATGAACTTAAAAAGTCATACATGCCAAGTAAATTTACTCAATGCATTAATTATCATGTACATTTAATAAGACAAACTACCGAGTAATATAAACCAATATTTATTCAGGTGTGAGAAATATCAGCGAGTTTCGCAACCTATATTATGCTCGCGAATAATAATCAACACAAACAATTTCTTTTGTTTAGAATGTTTCCCGAGTCACTAAAATTAATGGTTGCGCATTGATTTCAAACTGATGGATCTTGAATAAAAAATGGCATGAAAAATAGTTGATTTACAGCGTTTAGTATTTATAATGCTTTCAGTATGCTGTGGTCATGCAGTATTAATATTCAAAAGACAAATTATTATAATAAGATTTTTTTACAGGCTGAGGAGGAGTTCAACATAGAGAAGGGTAGGCTTGTCCAGCAACAGAGAGTTAAAATCATGGAGTATTACGAGAGGAAGGAGAAACAGGTGGAACTACAGAAGAAAATGTAAGTATGAGTCTCAGTTTCTGACCTTAGCTTTTACTTCCTCGGATTTCCAATGTGGACACTGATTTCAATTTTCAAAAAAACTTTAAAATTTGTGTTTTTAAACCCAATTTTCTCAAATAATTAGTTCTTTGTGTTTCCTGTAAAGTTTGAAATAGTAACATTTATTAATAAACTGAATTTTAAAAAATCTTTCAATTTTTTTTTTTCAGTCAAAGTTCCAATCTTCTGAATCAGGCCCGCCTTCGGATTCTGAAGATGAGAGAAGATCTTCTGAGGGTAGGTATAGTTCTTACAAACAGTAATCATGCTTAAAAGAACTTCAATTGAATAGATTAAGATGCTCATGCAACATTTAAAACAGATATTGATAAATGAAAAAGTGACAAATGACAAGTCATAATAAAATGTATTACTAAGCTACATGTATATGTAACTCAGCCATTTCATAAAGATATTTGAATTTCTCAGGCCTTTTTGTATTCTCCATTGCAATGAATTTAACTACAGGTGTCTTGCTGTCTGCTATTCTTTTTTAAAAGGAAGCAGAAAAAATATTCACATAATAAACAATTCAAACAAGTTAATAAAGAGGCCAGAATTTTCAATGACACATAGGAAGATACCTGATAATCAGATAGAAGAAAATCTAAAATCTCTTTTCAAAGATCTTTACTGAGTATTTAATTTTCTTAGGATTTAATGGAGGATGCCAGAAAAAGACTTGGTCAGATCACAACAGACAGAAATCAGTACAAGAAGTTACTAGAGGGACTTATAGCTCAGGTAAGTACTTAAGGAATCACTGTCTAGTTAGTAGAGTATGCCAGGGCATCAATGATAGTTGGAAATGTGGGATACTTTGCATACTTTGCGTAAAGAGCAGAGTCCGTAATGCAAAAATTATCTTACTATTCCAGCTCTTATTGAAATAATACAAATTCATCAGCTGAAGAAAAGGTTATGACTTCCTCAGAAGTTATATTGATGTTAATTGGCATTATAAAGAGATACTGTCTAAGAACGTAGTTTTAATTTACCTTGTTGATTTCAGGGCCTGTTTCAGCTTATAGAGGCATCCGTTGTATTGAGGTGTCGACAGAATGATGTTGACTTAGTGAAGGTAAAAGTGAAACGCTATCAATTTGAATTTTTAGAAGTTATCTAAGGATCAACATTTATTGAAATGAGATAAATTTATAAACAAAATCAGAGATATATTTTTTTCCCTATTCTAATGATTTATTGAAACTAGATTAAATCATTCTCCTAACATTGTTAAAAATTGTTTAAATCTTTTGAAAACTGTTTTTCACATCACTAAATTTTCTTAGAAATTTATTTTTTGTATAAATAGTTTCATTGGAATTTGAAAGTGAGAGAGATTCACAAAGTCTGCTTTTTGGACATAGTCTGTTAACACAGTAATTCCCTAATAAACCAAAAATATACATGAGAATGAAATTTTTAGCAAGCAGATGGCCTTGTGTATTTAAGAAAAAAAAATTAAAATTTTTGTGAACAAAACAGGAATTACAGATCATTTCTGTTTTTCTAAAAGACTTTCAAAAATCACACCTACATGTAATACATGTATACACTGAAGATGTCTAACATTTATGACATACGTTTTTTTTTCTCTGTAGGAAAGTCTTCCATCAGCTGTACGGCAGTACAAGGAAGCCACAGGAAATGACGTCTCCATCACCATAGATACCGACAACTTCCTGGGAAATGATGTGTAAGTACTCAGGTGGTCAGAGTTGAGCTTTTTATCGAAGAAAGTGAAATATATTTTACAAGAGAAAAGAAACTTTGAATTATGCATGTCCAGTATAACTTGTCAGATCTAATATGTAATATTCATATTCAGAAATCTTGCTTATTATAAAATAAACTCTAAAGTTCTCAGTA